CTCTTGAGATTTGATTTCGGGCTGTAATTCCAAATCTTCACTTTCCTCTACCGGCTAACAACCTTCGTCACTTTACCGGAGACGACGACGATAACGACGCTCTTGAGATTCGATTCGACAACGGCGATCTTGACTTTCTTCTTCGCATTAGGTCCGATTCTCGTTTCTTGATCACTTCAAAACTTGCTCTTATTGTTTATGTATTCCCAAATTTAGTGTGTGTGTAATGCGAAATCGGAAATTTGATGAAGATTATCTATACTTGGCTTGTCTTTCTATTGAGTTTGATTTTGATCATTTTAAAGTCTGGTGATTGAGGAGATTCGGCAATTTTGCGGTTTATGTAGAGCTAAGAAAGTTGTTTCCTTTTATCTTCTTCTTCAGTGGGCACATTGCTTGGGACACTTACTGGAGCTTTGATAGGTCAAGAAACCAAAAGTGGGTTTATCCGAGAAGCAGCAGTTGGAGCCATTTCAGGAGCTGTTTTCTCCATCGAAGTCTTTGAATCATCTCTTGTCCTCTGGAAATCTAATGGTTCACGTTTTGGATGTCTACTCTACTTGGTAAAGCTGAGATTTTTATGCTTTTGAAACTATGCTTCTGCTCTGTATTTGATTCGATTTCAAGTTTCGTGTTGATTCTTGTTTTTTGTTAATTTTTGGTGTAGATTGATGTCATTGTTAGTCTTATAAGTGGTAGACTTGTAAGGGAACCCAATAGGTCCAGCAATGTTAAGCACAGTTCAAAGCCAGCAATGTTATCTCTTGTAAACTAATTGCAGTCCCGGTCATGGAGTTATACTTGAAACTGTTGGATCTCTCTTAACGTTGTTGCTACGTTCCAACTCAAGGAACAAAAGGGCTTTTTAATGTTGAAACAGAGCGAAGCACAATCAAATAGACTTTGTATCGGTTTGTTGCTTAAGAATGACATATTTTGGTGCTTTGTTCCATTTAAATGCTGTGCATATTGGTAAGAATTGAGATGATGAGTGCCTCTCCGGATTCAGATCAACTTGATACAATTTGCTTTTCATGAAAGCTGGAGATTCATTGGAAAGGTTTAGTGGAAGCAAATGATTGTCAAGTATGTTGTTTACTTGGAACTTTATGATAGCCGTTGTGATAATTGTGTGGAATGTTTGTAACTGGTTAGTGGATTTTCACCAAGACAAATCAAAAACTTTATGGATAGTATTATTGAAGCCAAATAACAAATGCTATACTTGTCAAGATTGACTTGGACTGAAAAGTTTTAATTTGTTTTAACAGATTGTAATATACTTTACAAAATTTATGAAACATAATAAACTCAAGTTTTTATAAAATTTTGTATATTTATATATACTAATTTGATTTTCTTTCATTTTATTTTTTATAAAAAAAATAATATTTTTTTATTTTTTAAAACCCATTGAGTATCATCATTTGACATATAAAACTTAAAAAGTTTTTAATGAGTCTCAAATATTAAACTAGTATTAAAATTAATAATAAATTAATGCTAGTGATACCTACTCAATTTCATTGATAATGATGCTCTAAATCTTTTGGTTTAGAATCGAGTTTGGTTCAATTACTATTTCCTCTGGCTAATACAAATTTACCAAAACCAACTTATTTTGTATAGATCAAAGTTTGGCTTAGTTTGATTTAATTTTATATTGGTGCCAAGAGTTTTTCAAAAAAAAAATATTGGTGCCGATTTAAAGAATGGTCGATTGACTTCAATTTGAAGAGAAACAAAAAAAAAACACCTGACGATCAAACAAAAACCGGTTTAATTCACCTTGGTTAAATTAAAATTATGGTTTGGTTTTATTTCAAGTCTAGGCCCAGTCAGTGACGTTAGACATTTCTATACTCTCATTCCTT